ATCTGCCTGTTCTGCTCCCCACTCTCTCTGGTGAAGCCTCTCACCGCCCCTGAGCCTCTGACCTGTACCCCAGTTCTGTATGCACAAATAAATAAATCTTTAAAAAAAAATTAATGTAAGAAAAGAAAAAGATGAAACACACAGAGAAAGGAGCAGTAAAGGGGGACTCTACCAAAGGCTTCAGGGGCACCAGCTTTAAAGTTGCTGTTTTCTTGGCCTCCAGTAGAGACAGAAGTAGGCATTAGATGCCTGTGGGATTAAGGTGATTTGAGGGGGTTTATTCCTGCTCTGTGTTGTCTCCTTTGTAAACCCAGTGACTTAAAATATACACAGAATCCCCAAAAATACATCGGAAACAGTCAACCAAGGGCTACTTGTGCTTACTTAAAGGCAAACAAAACAAAACAAAAATAAGTCTCTCCAGGCACAGCTCTGGATTTGAGTTGAATTTCCAATTTATGACTGACAATCTCTGACTTTGTTTATGAAAACACTGTATTTACACCTCAAATGTTTCTGGAAAGCATTTAGAATGAGATTATATTAGCTCTTGACTCAAATTCCTTTGAAACCGCCTTTCAAAAGGCAATTTATTATGGACAGTAAGACTTGAGGACATGGTCTAAAATCCTGGCCTCACACAGATGCCTGACACACCCATTCACACTACAGAAACACACAGCACAAGTATGTCACTGCTATTAACAAAATAAGGTAAATTTTGAGGAATATTTACAGTCAATTTAGGATTCCACGACTGCTGGGTATACATGTTCTATGTTTTGTTACGCAAACCACAATTCCTTCCATGAACATAAAGTGGAAATGATATACATCAGTGTCTCCTGAAACTATTTTGAGTGAATTTATGTGGTAAAAGAATAAATATAATCAACCAGCCAAATTAATTCCCTACAGTCTGAACTTCTTTGATGACAGCTTAAGAAATCATCCTAATTCATGAATGAGTTTACCTTAGGAAAATAACTTCTCCACAACTTTGAAATGGCTATCAATGAGGAAAGATGTTATGGTTATACTCTCGTTTCAAAGAAAACAAAACAAAATTCACTCATGAACACACACATACACACTCCCCTTCATTCATGGCAGTCTCTCCTATGAGTGGGAAATTTGTCAATACTTTTCTAACTGGCAGTCTACCAGCAATCTCTAATCCTTCCTTTCCCCCGCATGCTAGGACACTTAAATTTTTTATGCTCTCATATTCTGTGACTCTAGGGAATTTCTGAGTTTTTCAAGCATCTTTCTGAAACATTCTTCCTTAATCTCTTTGGCTGCTTCTTAAACATTAACTATCCCCCTTCCAATGTCCTATTTCCCTCTGGCTCTAATCCTGATGCTGTGATTTCTGTAGGAACCTCCACTTTATAATTCCAACTATGATTTCTATGTTGAAAACTTCACTGCCATGCTTCCAACTCTAAACTTTCCCTCAAGTTCCAAATCCCAGTGGGCATTCCTCTTATCGACGGGACTTTCTGCTGTGAAAATAATCATTCACAGACATCCACACTTTGAGTTCTTTTTCTCCTTCTTCACTGGCCTTTCCAAGCACATGTAAAGGTTAACATGCTGTTACTAATAATTTAAACTATGCCCCACTTCTCTAATTCCACATCCCTGATGACTTTCCAAGCTGTCTCCTATGTCTCCTGGACCCTACAATTGAGCTCCCACTGGCCAAATCAAGCCTTTCCGACTGTCTCAAATATGTGAATCATCCCAGTCACTTACTCACTTGCAAAGAAAAAAAAATGTTTAAGTTTCTTAATGAGGCATTCAAAGTTGTGTATAATTTGTTTCGAACTAGTTTCTTCTTAGTCTCTGAAGAAAGCCTTTGAGAAGTTTTTGAAAAATCTCTTCCTTTAGGACTAACCATCATTCTCTTTATTCTCCTTCAGGAGGCCTTTAAGTTAACCTGAAAGTTAACTTTTTATATGAAGTATACGTTACCCTTTAAGAAGGCTTATTTATGCAATCCTCTATTTTTTCACATAATTTTGTTGATTTTTTTTTTATTTTAAAAAATCTATGGCTAGTCACACATCCCTTTGCTTTGCTGAACAGTGGTATGATGATCAACGTTCCTTAAAGTTTACATTTTCTAAAGGGCAGAGCTATTGTTACTGAAATCATTTTGGAAAGAACACTAACTTTGTTAGTATTAGGGATAGTCTACAGTATAGTGTGTTTCCTTTTCATTTTCCCATTTGACCTAGCTACTTCGGGATGATGTCCTGATACAGCTTTTTCCTGAGTTTATATTTAATACACCACTATGGAATTTCATGATCACGGTGACAGAGACTTAGCTGCATATACTTGAGGGGAAGTTTCCCTTCCTGAAAATATTTAGAGCATTTTATTAGATTATTTTTTCAGTATAGGTCACTTGTTCCTTGGTGACATCTGGAACAAATTTTGATACAAAGGTGAAATTCTGATAATATCCCATGAATTGAGGAAAACCCACAATGCAAAAATAATTCATCTTACCTTTAGCATCTTTGTTACTGATCATTTGAGGTGAGGAGGCCCTTCACCGAGCATGTCTGCTTTCTACAGCTTCCTCATCATAGAGGAAACTATCTTATCACACAGAGGTCCTGACAAACCAGTACCTCAGCAGTTCTCCACAGCATCACAGCCTCCATGCTGATTCTTTATACTCAATTTTCCCAAATTTTAGTGCTTTATTAACCTTGATGCCCCAGTTAAAAGCCATCAATATTTTTTCATTCAGTCTATAAAAGCTGACAAACCTACTAATAAAACTTAGCAAAAAATCAGTTTTGAAATGCCACCGGTCAAGTGAAAAGGAAAACAAAAATCCCACCTCTCTTGTAGAATAAGCTTGTTCTCCTTCTTCCAAAAGTCTTTAAAATCAGAGCTGAATTCATGCCAGATACTGAAGAAAACATTTGGGGACACCTCTTTCTCACCAAGTTTTGGTTTCATTAAGAAATAAGCTGTTGTCTCCAAAAAGCTGTTGAACACACACACACACACACACACACACATATGAGTATAAAGGCTATAATAACTTCTCAATATAGAATATTTCTCTATCCAAATGCTGATTTTATTCATGTTATTATCATTACCAAGGAGACTCAAACTTCCAGACACTAAGAGTTCTCTATGATTTCATGTTAGAGATTGGGAATAACTAGTGGTTGCTACAAGAATCATTCATATTCTTGATAACAATGCCTTTCTTTTTCAAAATTAATCACTGTGTGCCCAACATATTTCTGAATTGAACTTGTAGTCAAGTTGAAGTACTTGGTCTATACTTTCTAAACTCTAATAAATAAAGTACCAATCATTTGTGCACAAACTAATTTATATCTTCTATAAGTCAGATGGGTATTTATATTACTTTTATGTTATTTGATCCACTGTACTGTTGTGGGAAAATAACCAAAAGTCCCAGGAGATGATCAGAAAGTCTTTCATTGGAGATCATGGCCATACATTGAGTAGATACTAGAATGTCATTCAGCACTGATGACAAACTTCTGCTCTCCTGAAACTGCCACTCATAGGTGCTTCATATCCAACTGCAAAAGCTCAGAAAAACTTCTAAAGAGTTATTTAGCAAAGAACATGCCACTAGTAAATGGTAGGTTAATGACGTAACAGAATTTTCCCATTCCCATGAACAACGTGCTGAAAAGAACCTAGGTCATAGCCTGATAATGTCAGGGAGAATTATCCTGGGCAATGAGTAAGAGTGTGACCAGAGTTTCTTCAAAAGAAGTACAGTGTCCCAGTAATCCTTGCTATCACCCCCCCACACACACAAACACCCTTCTACTCACTTTGACCAAGAGCTAGCACTACTTCTGCTAAACAAAGCTCAAGTCTGATTAATCCTGGCAAAATTTTCTAAAATAATTTTATTTGTCCATATTATGCTGTGATTAAAACATACACATACATGTTTGTGTCTGTATTCAGTTTGTCATCCAATATCAGGGTGCTATCACTCCTAATAAGTAGGTATTTGATTGGATTGATAATGTTTGATTAGAATGTCCATGAGACCAGGGTTACACTGGCTTGCTGCATAGAATTACTAATTCACTATTATCTAAGACTGAAGCAAAAATGGTACAAGAGATTTATTTCTTGGGAAAATGTTTCCTGTGACCTATTGTTCTCATCTTTTATTTTAAATTTCAAAGATAGCTTAGTAATAGCTTGTCACTAGCCAGTGTTTCTTTCCTGTAGCTAAAGGAATTTCTGTTATAATTTAAGGCATTGACCTCAGATTTTACTTTTCATAGAAACTCAGCAATTGTGTTTAACAATTTCCCTAGCATAGTATTTTATAACAAATCAGTAACTACTACATATGTAATATTTGTTTACAGATTATATAGGGTATATTATATAGGGTAATGCCTAAAAATGCAATGACAAATAACTGCAAACAAAATTTTCTCTTAAGAGTAATCAGATTTCTTTAGAATATGATGGTTATTTTGATATGTCAACTTGGCTAAGTAGGGCAAACAATCCTGGGTCAAACAACAGTCTAGATGTGTCTGTAAAGATATTTTTGATGTGATTAACATTTAAAGCAGGACACAATGTGGGTGAGTCTCATCCAGACAGTTGAGGATATTAAAAAAAAAGACTGATTCCCAGAGTAGGAAGGAATTCTGTCTCCAGAATGTTTTCAAACTCAAGATTGTAACATGAAATCCTGCCAGTGTGCCAAGGTGCAATTCCTTAAAAATCAGTCTTTTTCTCTCTCTCCCTCTCTCTCTGTGTGTGCGTATACACACACACACACACACACACACACACCTGGTTCTCTGAAGAAACTTAATAGGGAAAGGAGAAAAGATGACTGAAGCAGACAAAGAGGGAGATTTCTGAGAAAATGTCTATGCTCACCCATAATTGCAGATCTCATTCTAGAAGTGAAGGATACAAGAGAAGCTCTAGGCCTGTCTAGACCCTACAGTTTTCTATAACCAAATTCATCAATCTTTTCTCCTATTAGTTATTTCTTACTATTTTCATGTATCTTATATATCCACAAATACTAAGTCTTATCCAAAGCTATTTAGAACAGCTTCAGATAACTAAGTTATTCATAATAATTTGATGTTTAACAAGATTGTATATCAGTTACAAAAATAAAATTAGTATGGAATAAAATTTAATGTGGAATTAAAGTAGACTATTAATTTATTTTTTCTTTAATGCTTGAATAAAAATTGAACTAATTATTGGTTCCTTGGATGAAACATACTAAGTATTTTTAAGACTATTTTGATAAGAAAGTTTATATTAAAGGAAAATAATTTCTCACCATTTATGAGTCTCTGTCAGTGAAGTCTCCTCTGTCTCTTGGTCAATTTTAGCTAAAAATATAAGAAGAGAAAAAAATATGAGAAAATGAAAATAGTTATTATTACCTCGAGATAAATATGATT